CTCTTCTCTCTTGTTATCCTTGCTCCTCTTTCTCTCCTTTTACCCCACCTGGCAAAACATTATCTGTCTAAACCTTGGCTGAAAAGGGAAAAATCCAGGGAGGATAAAGATCAACTAAGAAATACACTGGTCTTAAGAGTCTATTAGAGTCAAAGACTTAGCAGTGCCTTGACAGTCAACTATTAGGATGAACTGTCAACAGAGATTTTTTGGAGGACTGAGTTGCATATAGTGTTCTGGAGAAGCCCCCTATTTCTCATGGAGGTTGGGAAACTCCACAAAACCACAGTTGAAAGGAAAATGAAAAACTCCACCACTGGCCTTTATCCGAGCGTGGCCGCCTTCCGCTCGGCTCAGTGCCCGCCACATGCCCAGGAGTGCGTCTGGATCCTTGAGGGGCGCCCTTCGCAGGTGGACAGTGCTTACGCTATACTGCAAGAGAGCCAGAAAAGTGCCCATGAGAACCAGAAAGCAAACTTCCAGCCAGTGGGATCATCTCTCTAGGCATCTAAGATGGGGAAATCAACACAGATATCTGGGCAGCATCTGAATGCCAGGAAGTTAGGGAGTGACAAATCCTGCCCTCCCTGACTTCAGATCAACATAATGGTGGTGGAAGGAAAGAAAAAATGTATTCTGACATATCTGGTGGGGACAAGACAAAAGCCTGGGCTTGGGGTACAGCTCAGTGGTAGAGTGTTTGCCTAATTGAACCCATGAGGTCCTGGGTTCAATTCCCAGCATTAGGGGGAAAAAAAAAAGAAAAGAAAAGACCAAGTCAAGGCCAAATGATGGGGGAGAAATGTCTTCATTTCTAATAGTCAAAAAAATTGAAATAACTAATAGAAGAAAATTTCCTATAGTCTAAATCTATATTAGAAAGTCTGTGCTATGCTGATATAGGGAATTAAAGGTTATAACTGAAAGCAATTCATCCAAAAATTAGGTGATGCTCTTAGAGGAAAGTAAAAGAACTTCATTCTGAGATATAAAAAAATACAGCATAAATATGCCAAAAATTAAGAAATTATCTTTTCACAAGTCATCATCTTACCATAAACTGGACCCTCTTCCACAAAAAGGTTAATGAAGCTAAATTGAGAATATTAAGATTTTATGGTAGGAGACTTTTGGTAGTTTATAATCTCTCCAGACTGTTTATAAAATGTTTCATATGACCCTATGAATACATGGAACTCAAAGAACATGCTAACAAATTAAAAAACTTCATATTTTTACCCTATTTAGGCAGAACTAAATTTCTAAACTCTGCTGATCCAACTCAAAATCTCAATCCTAAGAAAAATGCAAAAGTAACAATTATTTGCTGAAAATCATATAGCATAAAAACTTCCAAACTTTCAAGTACTATTCTTTTCAATCCTTGATGGGAGTACTGTCTGAACAAGGTGGTAAATGGCACCACATTCTCTAATTAACCCTGTTAAATAGAATTTAACTATTCAGAGAGGTTTGCTGGGTTTCCCTGGATCCAAGTGACTAGAAAAAAATGGCAATCTCATGGGTTCAAGAAAATCATCCCAGGACACCAGGCTGATGATGAAGCAAACTATGTTTGTTTGTTTTTGGTACCAGGGATTGAACCCAGGGGCATTCTATCACTAAACTACATCCCCAGCCAGCCCTTTTTATTTTTTACTTTGAGACAGCCAAGGCTGACCTTGACAGTAAAGCAAACTATTGTGATCATTTTCAGATACACACACTAAATAAGTCAGGGTTCTAGCAACTCCATTTTCTAAGAAAACTGCTTCTTAAAATTCTATCTATGGTGCAATCTGGCCAAAGCATGTCAACTTCTCTTGTCAATACTTTTCTTCTTCCTTTCTCTCTCTCTTCCTCCCTCTCCTGTCCCTCTCTTTCTTTTTTGGTACTGGGGATTGAACCCAGGGGCACTCTACCACTGAATCAATCCCCACCCCTTTTTATTTTGAGACAAGGTCTCACTAAATTGCACAGACAGCCTCGAACTTATGATATTCCTGCTTGAGTCTCCAAAGTAACTGGGATTATAGGCATATAAGCCACTGCTTGTCTCTTCTTCTCTTTTTAAAATTTTTGTGGTACTGGAGATTGAACCCACAGCCTTGTCCATGCTAGGCAAGCACTCTACCATTTAGCTACTTCTTCAGCTCTCTTCTGAAAAACTTGTTTTCTCTTGTTTGAGACAGGTCTCACCTTGGCTGGCCTTGAACTTTTAATTCTTTTGTCTCAGTCTCTCAAGTAGCTGGAATAACAGGCGTGGGGGACTGCACCTGATTTTTGTCTGTCCTTTTAAGATAGAGTTGGCAAATGACCTGTGCTCTTTTCCCAAATTAAAGATTCTTCCACTTAAATCTTGAAGACTAGGGGGCATCAGCTGGCAGTCAAGGAAGGTGGCACTTCTTTTTGGCAAAAGGAATAGACTAGTTGATCCTAACAACTTGGTGGAACTAATATCCTAGGTGAGGCAACAATGAATGGCTCACAAAGATGTATGGTTATTTGAGAGGAATGAGGGACTATATCTGGTGGTCACCCGACCCTGCGCTCTATGGAAACCAAAAAGGATAAAAAGATGACAAGTACACAATAATATTAGACACCAACTCCCAGATTTCTCATTAACTTCAAGTTGTAAAGAAGAGTGTTTTCTAAGGGCAGAGGGAAGGTTTGTTACTAAGACACAACAAAATTGTGAAGCAATCTTGAGTAGAAAATCATCTATTCATTCAACTGCAAGAAAGCCTCCTCACCTTGGCTTGCAGGGCATTCTAATAGCAGGGGCGAGTCCTCCCAGTTTCACCAGGCCATGTAGTTTGCTAAATCCTGGCTGGGAAGTCAGGTTCTACATTTTCATGTAAGGAAGATGGTGGAAAAGAAGCTATTAGACCATGTTCAGAAAACATCTGAGGGAGTTAGAATATAAGATGGGAGAGACTGTGGAGCCAATAGCAAAGATAACTTGTTAAAGGTCATAAAAAGAGAGTATAGTGTATTTAAGGGATGAACCACCATGTCCATCTAAAAATATGTACAGAAGGGGGTAAAACTACAGTTTTTTTTTTTTGATAAACACAAGGAACCAGACAATTGTAAAGACACAACCTTTAAAGGGCCTAAGGCAGTATACTCAACTCCCCCCCTCCCCCAGACTTGATCCAGCCCTGTAACCACAACCTAAACCCTAGCCATATGCCTTATTACTAGACCACCAATATCAGGATAATTTCCATACCTCTCTCACAGCATGCACAACAGCACAACACCAGTAAGTTTTGGGGGAGGGAGGAAGAGCTGAGAGGGAGAGTCTATCTATTTCCCACCAGTAGCCTGGATCAAATCTCTGTACTTTTGAAATTTAATTTTTGATTTCAAGACCCAAAAAGGCAAAGAAAGGGAGACCAGAACTTCAAAAAGATCTCAGGAAATTTACAATTGACTCTGGCTACGGCTGTAGAGGCCACGGCTACTGAGGCCACGGCTTTTGGCTACAGCTGTAGAAGAAATCAGAGCCAAAGAGGAGTTACTGGCAGTTTAAAATAAGCTAAGGTCTACCTTTTATGGAAAAGTGTCAGACATGCCCTTTGGAGCACCAAGACCACTGGGTATCATTCAAAGAAGATTTAGTTGGGATCAATTTGTATCAAACCAAGAACTTTATTCAAGTGGAAAATTAATTTGATGAGGTTTCTGTTTTTTCACTCTTCCTTCTTCATATCCAAGAAAGGCAGAGACATTAATGTGAATAAAGGAATTTTACATAGGAGGCAATAAAATCCCCCCTCAGATTATTTTATACATGGCTTTCCAACAGCTTTCTCCTAGCCAGTGGTTCCTCCTTTTGTAGAGTCTGATATTTTACAGAACAATAACAACTACAAATGAACTTTCAGAATGGCTCTTAATCCCAAATCTCAATGTTTTCAATAGCCCTTTCATATTACAAGTAAAGGTAAAACTAAATTTAAGGGAGATTTTTGTCTTCATTTCTTTTCAGGAAAAAGAAGTCTAGTGGGAGAGTTAACTCGAGGTTTTGAATGCAATCAATCAGACCATGGACAATTTCTCTTTACAGATGCCTAAATTTAAGGAGTGGAGGAAATATTCTCTTGAACTGGGAAATTCTGAGGACTTGTATTTACAGTGAAGCTATGGCCAAATATATTTCTTACATAAAGACCAAGAAGATTTTCCCTTCTGCTGTAATCTAAACTCTTCTTTGTACAGTGGCTATGCTGGGACTGATAAAAAGTCCATCAGCAGGAAACTAATAAAAAATCTCTCAACTCAATAGTTTACTTTCTCCTCCATCACTTTAACACACATAATAGGAGGATGGGGACAAAGATCAAAAACAAAGGAAGATCGGTTCCTCCACACAGAAATCGTATTTAATAACTGCAAATAACTCCGAAAATACACGGGGAGTGTGGTCAGAAAGGTGCAGCAGCTGCATGTGCTTATAACTTATAAATTATGAGACAACATGACATGTACAAACAACCAGCCAGGTTTAAAGTCAGTGGCAGAAACTTGTTTGATGACATCCACTAGATTTGATAGCCACTGCCCTCTCGCCATTTCTAACAGCTCCCCCTACTCTAATCACAATACAATCAAGCTGGTGAGAACAGCTAAAGACCCTGGTCCTGCAAGAAAAAATGATCTCCCAGACCGCGCGGCACCAACACCACAAAGTCGATCTCCATCTCTGTCCTCGGCAGATCCCAGGCTCCATCTCTTTTCAAGTCTCCACCCTCCTTTCCCCGCGGAGGCTCCACCTCTCCGGCCCCGCTCTTTTCAGACGCGCCTCCGGTCTCTGGGACTTTCACAGCCACCAGCGACATCAACCTCTCGCGCTTCCTACTCCACTCCCCGGCGCCCAGCTCTCCACTGGCACAGCTCCGTGTGTGCCTTGCCGGTCCCGAGCTGCAGTCAGCGGATTGTGAGGCCCGCACAGGTCCCAACCATCCTCGTGACGGTCCCACCTCACTCACCCTCCGTCACCTCCAGCACCTTAATCTGTTCCTCGGCAGCAGCCCGCACCTCCTGCACTGGGGACAGGATCCCAGTGAGAGTATCCACCAACGCCTCCTTTAATCCTTGTGCTACTGGACCTGGCAACCCGGAGGCCGCACCAGCTGCAGCTGCCGCCGCCATCTTTTCTCCCCTCAGTCCCCCAGCCCGGACCCGCCACTGAATGACGGCTCCCGCGCACGGCCAATCCACGAAGCCGCGCCTGCGCACCAGATTCCGCGGGAGCGGGCGGGAGGCGGGGAATGAATCTAAACCTCCAGAGACAGCGCCTCCTGCCGCTTAAACGAAAACTGCACCTTTGTCAGCAAGGATCGCTTCGGATTTATGTCGAAAGGGAATCCCAGAGAGATTAAGGGGCTTTTCTAAAGTCGCACAGTAGGTGAGCCATCTCACTTAGAATAAAGGTTGTGGTGTATGCCTTTAGACTCAAGGGTCGTTCACATATTAGACGATGTGTTAGGAGAGAGGAGGTGGGGTGGAAATGGATGACGAGGGCTGAGTGTGGTGATGCATGTCGGTAATCCCAGAGAATGGGGAGGCTGAGGCAGGAGGATTGAAGTTCAAGACCAGCCTCAACAATTTAGCAAGACCTCTGTCAAAATAAAAAGGGCTGGGTATTAGCTCAATGGTGAAACGCCCCTGGTTCCAACCCCAATACCCACCCCACCAAAATGAAAAAGGAAAAGGATTTTTTTGAGGGCTTTAAAGAGAGGAGACTGAGTCAGAAAGACCACCCATTTTAAATCAACTTCTTTCTCCTCCACCCATCCCGCCACACACGGAAAAAAAATTGGCTAAATTTAATTTCTTCATCGATTAGCCTTAAGAACCACAGATAGGGCGCTGGGAGAAACTGAAGGGAAGTGGGCAGTGGGCGTGGGCCTGGGCGTGGGTAGGGTTACCTTCCAGCCTAGATGAACCCAACCTCAAAATGGGAAGGTGATGGAAGGGGAGAGTACCAACATGTAAAAGGGTATTTTCTCCAGATTGACACTTTATGTGAGAATTTGATAGCTGAGAATATATGCCACCTCCCTCAAGTGAAATTATGGCTGGACACCTCAAGAAGTGGGAACAGAAGTTATTTAATATACGAAATGGCCCAGGGTATATACTACTCAACAATGTAGGTGGAGGGAATTAGAGAGAGGAGTTGAAAATACAGGAGCCTGGGCTGGGGCTGCAGCTCAGTGGTAGAGTGCCTGCCTTGCGCGTGTGATGCACTGGGTTCCATCCTCAGCACCACATAAAAATAAATAAAGATATTGTGACCATCTACAACTAGAAAAAATATTTAAAAAATAAAGAATAGGAAAAAAATACAGGAGCCTGGCCGGTGAGGTAACCCGGGAAATGTAACCCCTGTGCTTCCTCTGGGGAGGCTGAAGCAGGATGACTGGGAGTTCAAAGCCAGCCTCAGCAAAAGCCAGGCACTAAGCAACTCAGTGAGACCCTGTCTCAAAACAAAATACAAAATAGGACTGGGATGTGGCTCAGTGGTTGGGTGCCCTGAGTTCAATCCCCAGTACCAAAAAAACAAAAAACAAAAACCATAAAAACCAAACCAACCAACCAAACAAACAAAAAATAAACCTGGGAGCCTGGCAAGTATGTAGTGGCTAAAGGGATGCAATTGCTATTATATGTTATTGGAGCAAAAAGGAACAGGTATTTCTTAGTAAGCTGTTCATAAGGTGGTTTCCAGGAATGTTTACTCTCATTTCCAAGTGGCAAAGGACACTAGTAATTTTTGTTTCTAATATTTTATTTTTTAGTTGTAGTTGGACACAATCCCTTTATTTCATTTATTTTTATGTGGTGCTAAGGATTGAACGCATGGTCTCGTACATGCTAGGCGAGCACTCTTCCGCTGAGCCACATCCCCAGCCCCCAAACTAGTAATTCTTAAGACAGTTCCAAGACTGTGGATGCTAAACTATTAACAACTGATGAAGATGAAGTCACCTCATCTGAGGATTCTTCCAGAAGAATGCTTTAGAATGCTTTCTTGATTTATTTTGAGGAGTACACATTTATCACCTCCCATGTTAGGAGGGCAGAGGTGGTTTGTGTTACCACAATACTTTCATAGGGAGAAGATTGCTTCTTGGACCTGAATTCCACAATAGAGAAGAGTTAAGACTTATTTTCCTTCTTCCAGTGGCCAGGAGGAGAAACTGAATTTCATTTTTAGAACAGCTTCGTTACCTAAAGGTTAATTCACTTTTACCCCCCCCCCCCCAAAAAAAAAAAAAAATTCAGGGATGTCCAGCAGGTGGTATGTTTTCAAACTTTGTGGCAATGGATGGAGGTCTCAGAGACATCCCCACCTCAACCAAAGGAGTCAAAAGAGATTCCATTTAAGATTTGGGGTTTGGGCATTTCCAGGCAGGTGGGTTTGCCTCTGGGTTTGGCAAATGACCACAACCAGACTTACTTTCCAGATCAAGTAATGGGTCATAAAATAAATGGAGACAGAAATCAGGCAGAGAGGGAGCTGGAGAACCAGTGGACAATACAGGAGATAACTTTATTGAAACGCAAATGGCATTGAACAGATGAATCTTGCTGGGAAGAGACATGCCTGAGGACAGAGGGCCCAGATGAGGGGGACCACCATGGTGAGGGAGGAAGGCCTCTTCAGCTGGCCCAGGCATGAATTTAATTTTTGACCAATTTGTTATTTAAAATGAATTACTGAGGGGACAGCCCAGCTCTCTTCATGATTGTTACCGCAACTATATACAACCATTTCCTTTCCAGATTCAATTTTGCTTTTTCTACATTAGCTATAAAAGGGAGTAGGTTGGAAGAGGCAAGGGTCAAATGAGAGAGGGAAAAAAAAAAAAACAACAACAGATCAATCAAACACACACACATACATACATACACACATCCTGGTTTGAGGTTTTGTGCCCAATAAATTAAAAACAAAACAAAAACAAAAAACTGTTGTGAAAATTCCTGCCCACCCTCCACCTGAGGAACACCATGCACTTGAGAAACACAAACTCCATCACAGAGTGCTGCCCCAAACAGGATGGGGTGGGGGTGGGGGGAAGGAAGCTAGAGAATTCATTAAAAAAAAAAAAGATCTTTTTTAAAACAAAAGAACATTAGGAAGTGATGGCCCACTGCACAGCAGTAGCCCAGAGATTGGCTGCAACAGGAGCCTGTTCCTTACTTTCTTCCTTCTCAGAAAAATGGCAGGGAAGCAGGGTGACCCCCTCGGAGTTGGCCAGAGGACCCATGGCAGGCTTTCTGGGGGACTAAGGGAGTGATTTTAGTGCAATTATTTGCCTTCCTTCGGCTTTAGTCCTTCCTCCAAGTGCTGAGTGCCAGGGCACAGGAAACCTAGTCCTATTAGGTTTCTTTGTGCTCCATCCTCAAGCTCTTTCACAGGGTAAAAAAATCAACAAACTTGAAACAAAACCAGTTCCAACAAACCTCATCTCCCCCATGGCCCCATGAGTCTGTGAACTTTGCAATATATGAAGCTCTTTTCAGACCTTTTTTTTTTTTTTTTTTTAAGGATTTTATTCTATTGCCTTGGCTGAGTAGTTCTGTATCCACGACCTGGTGTGGGGAAAGCTTAAGCCCAAGGATTTAGGTGCCCAGCAGAGCACAGAGAAGGGGTCTCCTTGGAATCCTGGAACCCTTAAGTTGTTAGCTGCCTTGGGGAAGAAGGTTCTGACCAGGTTCTCAGACCAGTAGTGCTCTTTGCAACTCAAATAAAGGAGAGGGATGTTCCTGGGAGAACATCTTGTTATGGAAATACAAATTAATTTTTTTTTTTTTTTTACTTTTCCCATTCTATTACATAATTGGGAAAAGGCTAAGAATAGACACAAATAGTCCACCAGAAGAGCAATCTGTAAGAGACCTCCAACCACTTTCCTCCGTGCAGTTTGCCAAGTAGAAATTTCAGAGGTGACATTTTTCTCTGAAGGTTGCTTTCAACTAGGAAAGCTGCAAACACTCCTCTAACTTCCACCTGGAAGCACACATATTGTTTCCTTTGTTAAATTAAACGTAAGGAAAACCGAAACATAAAGAAGTATGATAAAAGTGATGTTGAAACTAATAGTAACATCTGGATTATAACCTAGGACCTTCTTATTTTTGGTCCTAAAGCCCCTGAAAGTAGGCACTCTGATACTTAGCTTTCCCTTTAAAACAGTCAAATCTCCAAGTTCAGCGTGCATCAGATTCACTGCGGGGTTTCTTCACACGAGTTGCTGGGCTCTACCCCTGGAGTTTCTGACTCATTAGGCCCAGGGCAGAGCCTGAGAATTTAATTTCTTATAAGTACCCAGATGCTGCTGCTGATTCTAGTAGTCTGGAACCATCCTTTTGAGAACCATGGTCTTCAGAATTGAAGGACTGAACCAAGAAACTAGGCGTTCACTTTCATAATCACATGATAGAAAAATTTCCAAGTCATAAACATTAAGAAAAATGGTGAAAACATCTGTATCTGCCTTGGTCTCCCTGCAGCTTCTGAATTTAAAGAGGTTTCCTTACTTTAAGGCTATGATTCCATCCAGTTTGTTCTACCTTCTCTAGGATCTGTGGTGGCAGTACTTGCTTCTAGGGCTAGGCTGAGCAGACACGCACATCTGCCCTCTGGGCAGTGAGATAGATCTCTGGAGATTGATTGATGTCATGAATATATAAAACTGATCCAGTTATAAAGGGCAATATCAGGCTTTGGGAACATAGGACAAAAATGTCCTATCATGGAAGTTGGCTTATGGGGTACAGGATTAAGGAAAGAAAAGTATGATGAAGAGCTGCATTTGCCAATGTGAACCACGTTGAATGTGTATGAATGTGTAATTAAACATCTTTCCCTCGCAAACACACTGGAATAAAGAATCCTTAATGTCTCTTTGTAAGCATCACTTTGATCTTGGTTTTGCAGGACTGAGTCCCATTCAGTCAGGCAAATTTCACCTACATGCTGGGTTGCTACACACGGGTGCCCTTCCACATAAGGATGTTTGTTACTGCTTCTCTCTTCCCACTCTTTGGAATACTACGGGAAATAGAGTTCAGACCACTAGAAGGCGGTATCCCTCTGAATAGTATGTTTTGGGGATCTAGAACTAACAGATAATATTAGGTGCACTCATACTCTTGCAAACCAGGAAAACCAGAAGGCAAGAAATGAAAAGGAAAAAAAAAAATCACTATTTGTCTTCAGTCCTTAAGGAGTATGGATGGATTAGTTGGAAGGTTGGTAACTCAAGACCAAAATGTAGTACATCGGTCTCTCCATGGACTTGTAGCCAATTCTTCTT